TGTAATTCAACCTCATTGCTTCCTTTTTGGGGGTTGTTAAGAAAAGCAGCCACTGGTAGCAAAGGTGCGATTAACTCTGGCTACAGAATTTTCTGGTCACGTCTGCACTGCTGCTTCCATCATTGCTGCCAGTTTTTAGTGTGGGGTTAACCCAGGCCACCTGGGGCACCAGCTTTGTTTAGAGGCAGTAGCAGACACATCTCTGAATGTTTTTGGTTTAGCTACCGAAGGGGAACATTGTGTCTCATTTTTGTGGGTTCCATACACATTCTGCATCTGGACTGGCATCTTTAGCACAATATCTTTGTAAGGCTAATTTTAAGCTCTTTCAAGTCTAATTTTGAGATGCAAAGATTATCCTTGGTTTTTCTTATTTACTCTGCTTTTTATGGTTTGTTACACAGCTGATGCTTTTAGTTATGCATAAATGATTCCTCTGTCACTTTGCCCTGTCTTCTATTTTGATGTTAATCATTCAGTATTGTGCATCATCTTCTGTTGGAAGGGTTTTCAAACATTTTATGTTTTTCAGGCTGAGTTTAACAAGAAGAGCACTTTTTACCTCTTTAACCATGTTGACATTACCATCATGTACCATAGCGGGAAAGATGAAAGCTGGCCTGGAGCAAGACTGGTGATGGCAAAACTAGAACCGAAAAGGTAATTGCCACTTTTCAATATATACCTAGCAAAATCACAGGTTCATCGTGCTGGGAACCCAGTTTCGTTCTTTTTGAAGCACTAGCTGTGCTCAGTTAACCATTCAAACTCTTTTAATACATCAATATGTTCTTGTATAACTACACTTGAGTAAAACTTACTTACTGGGTAGGGACTGCTGCTGCTTTAGGACTAAATATCCATATTTTTACTCTTCTTTAGGGAAATCAAAGTGGGGTGGAGGGAGGCAAAATACATTATTTGGCACATCAGGCTCTTCTCCCACACCACTGTCAAGCACCATTGACTGACTGACTTTGTCACATCTCCTTTCATCTGTCAAGATGATGGATGGCCATGTGAAGAAATAAACTTTTTTGGTTTCTTTTTACCAAATTAATTTTTTGTCCTGTAAGCCCTCATCCTTATAGCATTTAAAATTCTTGTTTTTAAATGTTTTGGGTGCTATAATTTGGCAAGTAGGACTCTTCTATCCTTGCACAGCTATTGTATAGAGTTGACAAAAGTCATACTCTTCTACAAAGCAGCAAAATACCTAAGAGGGCTAAACTTGTTTTCTGTGGAGAAAAGTGAACAGGGTTTTGTGTTCACTTTACCCGTTGATTGTACTTGCAACCATAGAAGCTTGCATAGTTTCAAAGGTCAGGAACGGACTGAAATGATGGTTACTCTAGTTTATGGAGCAGTCTATGGATGGGTACCAAAACCGACAGTAAGTAGCAGTTACAGTTCTGTGCTTGTACAACCTAAATGTGTGTGTTAAATGCGCACTTAAATTACATGATCATAAACTTTTTCAGCTATAGTTCATAAAAATTGCTGGAGGGATATAACTGTTCAGCACTGGGCACCAACACACAAGAAGTGAGGCTGCTTGGACTCGCCATAATTACGGTGTAGTGGAGCAGGTTTGATTAATTGAGTGTGGTAATTATCGCACTCCAGCATACTCCAACGTCTTGTGTATCAGCATCCCCGTGCTTAAAAATGGAGGCGGGGGCACTTTAACTAAAGCTCGTTGGATGAGCTTTAGTTAAAGTGCCCCGCTGCCATTTTTAAGCATGGGGAGGCTGATACACAAGATGCTCCGGGCACTTCAATTAGTGCTGCTCTAATTAAAGAGCTCTTCCTCCTTCCTCCTCGAGCATGAGGATAAATGCCCTGTATTTTTAATTTTACTGATCTAGTAAAATAGTAGTATCCTTCTTAGGTAAAAGTTTATTTCTATCCTCCCTCCCCAGATTTATTTAGTTAAACAGCCTGGGGCAGATTTTGTCATTTCCCATTTTGATTAGGACGTTATTCTGAAACAGAATTGGGTATACAGTATTTGAGTAATAACATAAGCAGTAACTTGACTGTACAAACTGGACAAACCACAAGGGGGCATACTTAGGTTGCATCTGTACTGTTACTGTTCTGATGTGGTCACTTGTCACTTAAAACTGCACCAGGAGAACTTTGTTTGTATCTGGACTTCCCTAGGTTTTATGAAAGAAGCCTAGAAATAGTCTAGACTTTGTAGCTTGGTTGGCATGTAAATATGCAATAGTGAACATAGGCTGCGTGAGATGGAATTAGCAGCACGTGTATATCCTGTATATTTGCTATCTTGAGAGGTTCAGAGAGATGAGGAGTCATTCTCATGCAGTTTTTGAGTTCTGTAGTGTCTTTGTCTTCAGGGACTCTGAAGTCCACTTTACAGCATGTGGAAACCTACTCTTAGCCACATACCTTGCAAGTTGCTTAGGACCCATGTAGCTGGGATAGACCCATGTTCCATGAACTTGCAGTTCAATTTCTGCTGCACACCATGGCCTTCCTTGGTAACGCACATCATAAACTTGGCAAATATCTGCCTCTGAGATGCCCTGACCAAATCCAGGACATCCTTCAAGAAGCCCATGATTATTGTATTGGTTCAGATAAATCTGATTCTGTTTGGACAGTCACAGAGTACTTTTCAGTTCTGTGACATGTTTCAACTTCCTTTCCTCATCACTTCTGCCTGAAGAGCTGTTGCAAGAAAAGTGACTAATGGGTTACCTGTATGTGCCCTTTTTCTGTGGGTTCAAAAACATCCAAATCATGTCATTTCAGACTACAAAAAGGGGAGAGACTGGTGGAAAGCTGTGGTTTCAAAGAAATCTGAATAGGTATTGCAAAAAAATACAAAAAATAGTTGGCAAGATTATTTTATTTATTAGTCCATATTTTTATTTTAATTGTGAAGCAGATCTTTATTCAACCCAACAGGTATGAATCTTATTTAAAATCTTTTTGTCTTGCTAGCTACAAACATACAGATAAAGACAACTTAAATTGTCAAGGTCCTCCCATGGAGATCCCCAGAGATTTCACCAGCAAGCTGGATCTGATCTACACTTATTCTGTGACATTTGAAGTAAGTCTCTAGAATTTATTACCAGGACACAAAAGTCTTTGGAGCTGTGTGCATGGTTTTTTTTTTTTTTTTTCCCCCTCTCCTCCTGGCAGTTTTGTTTGCTTAATATAAATGTTTACTGTTCACAAAAATATATTGCAGTAGTGAAAAGCTTTCTGAGGAACAGCTTTTAAAAGCAACAAATGTTGTAGCTATAGAGGTATTAAAGTCCAGCACCAAACCCCAGAATGTAGTAGGAGAGTAGTGTAATTCTGTTCTAAAAAGCAGCTTCCAGATAAAGATATTTCTAATGAAAAGTAAGAAGTCTTTGACAGTCCTAAAATTGGAAGTCCAATATAATTGGTTTATTTTTAGTAATGCATGAATATTCTGAGAGTCAGTCTGTGCCTCTGGCTGCAACAGAACAAATCTGAATTTTTTAACTTTTTTTTTGCTAATTGCTTAAGCAGTGGATTTGTATAGGACAATTTGGATAGGGATGTTACTGTCTCAGGCAGAGGGTTGGACAAGATGCCCTCCGGAGGTCCATTCCAGCCTGACTTCTCTCTCAACAAGAATCATAGAGAAGTAGGGATAGGATAGGATCTTGTAGGGATAGGACAGCTTTACTGGCTCTAGTGCAAGGGTAACATTTTTAAAAATAAAACTTAAAGTTGGCATTAAAATGAATACACCCTGAATTAACACACGGCAGGTCTTTTAAAGACCATTCCTTTCCACAGCTACTATTCAGTTGCACTGTTTAAGTGATCCTCATTGGAAGAAATATGTGTATAACCCTACCTAGAGACATGGGGCTTTGTAATCTACCTCAGGGGTGGCCAGCTTGTGGCACACGTACCCTGGCCAGCCTCTGTGGCACCTGGCAGATCAGGGATGGGGCAGGCTTCATGACATCTGATTGGCAGGAGGTAGAAATTAGAGCAGGGGGTATAGGGTAGGAAGCAGGAAACAACAGCAGATTGGGCAGGCGAAGGGGATCAGAGCGGCACTGGGGGAGGGAATAAGGGAGGGTGGAGCTAATTGTGGCATGCCTGCCAAAAAGGTTGCACCCCGTATTGATCTACCTAATTTTTTCTCATGCTAGTTTATAGTAAGTCTATTTTTTGGTTCTTCTCTAGTTTTGTTTGCTATCCTGTTTATTTTGAAAGTATCTTTATTATAATTCCATGCACTTCTGTGCACGCTTGAATTTCATTAGGTGGTAGATTTTCAGACTGCCTGAGATTTGTATTTTGCTTATTACTGGGTAGGCAGTAGCGAATTGAGCTTATTTTGTGACTATAAAATTGCCCCAGTTGGAAAAGTCATCTTTCTCAGGGAATGAAGAGAGTTCAGTTTTAATATGTGGCTTCATACCTTGGTGCCTGTGTTCCAGCCTGTCCTAAAAGCATGTCAGTTCTGATTTGTTTTTGTGATGTAAGACCCTGGTCCTTTAGGGATTGGATGGAGACCACCAGCTTATTTTGTGTTGGCAGCCAGACAGCTGTCATATAGTAATAGCTTTCACTCTTTACCAAATTGAATTTGATTTGAACCGGTGACCTCAAGGTGCAAGGTTCTAGATCCTATTACTTTTCCCCTGAGCCATCCTGCATCCCTTTGCCTTGCTCCATGAATGAGCCTCCTGTCTGTTAACACTGGTGCTTAAATCTTTGCGATTTAAATTGCAACCTGTAACTGTAATGTCAGCTTTGCTTAGTAATTCATAAAATGTGTTATACACTTGAAATATCTATGCTGATTTCAACCAAGGAGCTTCTAAAGTATACTTATTGCCAATTCAGATACTTCCAGCAGATGGCACTATGTACATCTTAAATGCCATGTATATTTAAAATTGACTGCTGCTCTATTTTTAGTCTTATATTTGGGATATAATAATATATGGCTCTCAATATATTGCTTTACATCACCAGTTCTCAAAACACTTTTAAAAGGAGGCAGGTATGCGGCAAAGTATTTGTTTTTAGGCCTAAAGAAGGATATTGCAGCTAAAATTTTTTAACTGATGCCAGTAATAGTTTCTTTTGCATCCAAGATGCTTGCTATTTTTAAAGCTAAGCACGTCAATATGATCCAATTGCTGATATGCAGCATGGCAGCTTGGAAAGTTTTTAAAGCCAAGATGACAATTTTTTAATTAAACATGGATGCCTTGAGCCAGTGGTTATATCTGGTGGTCACAACTGTGTACCTGGCAAACGCAGAAAGGTGTGAACTTGGTGCAGACACCTTGCGAACGTGCTGTGGTCACAAAAGTACTTGGAACAAAAAAATAGAGAGTTGAATGAAGATTTTAGTACTTATAGAATTTAAGTGCTCTGTGGGTCATATTGAAGAGAAGATGACACATGTTGGTACATGTAAACAGAAAATGATCATTTAGGAACAAAAAAAAGATACTATCGTAGTCAGCAAGGGTGAATGGTAAGTTTGAACCAAATAGTTGTGCAAGCTCACCAATTTTAGGAGGCATCACTGAAAACTTTTACTTGTTAAAAGCCATGTTTTGCTTAGTTATTTTTTTCTTTGTTTATAGGAAAAGAATAAGATTAGGTGGGCTTCCAGGTGGGACTACATTTTGGAGTCTATGCCACATACCAACATTCAGTGGTTTAGGTAAGACTGTTAATTTGTGAAATGAATACCTTGTAGCAAAGTACAGAAAGTGTAACTTTTACTGTGGTAAAAAGAAATCTCTTAGTTTTCAGGCATGCAAACTCTTCTTGTTTCCATATGTGGAGTAACTTTTATCAGTCTTCAGTCTCTTGGGACCAACTGAAGTATTGCATTTCAGTAAAGGAATGTGCCATTATTATCCAAAGGCAAAGCAACTTCTAGGCTTTTATTTCTATTATTTTACTCTACAGAACTTTTGAGAAGTTACTGCCCATCATTTTTCTTACCATTGCTGTAAGGCTTGCCCTCACTGCCAAATACAAGATATCTGTATTTATCTATATATCTGGATTTGCTATTTCATTAATATTAGAAGCTACCACTAAATGCACAATGGACAGTCCATCAGTTTGGGTTTTTTAGTAAACAATGAACCCAGAGTTATTGATCACTGTATAAATTGTATGCTAACCCGTAAAGAAGAAAATGCTTTGCTATGCAGAAATTTTGAAAATGGACAACATAACTAATTAAATATTGAATATGTAACTGGAGCTGTTTATTAGAACTGTGCTGGCTTGATGGATCTCATGCACCATTTGAGTCTAGCATTCTCTGACCATTGGGAGAAGAGAGTCTTTCTGTTTATATGTAGGGAGATTATTTCCACGTACTCTTTGAATATTTGCTACATAATTATACAAAGCCTAGTAGATTACCTTTTTATAATGAGAAGTTAGTCTTGTTGGCCGTTTTCAGAATCTCTCGTCTGTAGTTAGTACTTGAGGGTCTGATCTCCTAAAAACTCTTTACACCTGCCTCACCACTTCCTTTGGATGCTCTATCCCACTACATATGGTGCCTGTCTTTGCTTGGAACCTCTTTCCTCTCCTGGTGCACTGAGTATCTCTCCCCTTTACTTAGCCCCTTCTTTATCATGTCTTCTGTATGATCCTAAACTAGAAGTCTTAGTTAAAGGAAAGAAACCTCAAAACTTCAAACTAGCATGAAGCAGGATTGTCTGCTTTATCAGTGTTTTGTACATCTCAGTTGTATATTGGGCACCTAAGGTCCAAACTTCTGAGAGTATTCATTTGCTACAAGCAGTACCATTTGATTTAATAGGAAAGAGCCTCTGCTTAATCTTGTGACCTTCCTCTAAATTGTTCAGTTTTTCTTACACCAGCAGTAGGCTTTAGAAGCTAGTTTTAGGAGTGTACTGTAAACGTATAATAGAAAGCACAGGACTAGTTGTGCTTGATAGATTGAAAACAAAGAGATGTTGTATTTAATTGTCTTGTCAGTAAACAGCAGATCATAAAATGATATTCTTTGTGTTCCTAGGCAGTCATTAAGCGACTCATAACTTCTATTATAGTTTAATGTTTTCCTACACAAAAAACAAAGTTAAACGATGTGATGATGGCTTACATAAGAAATTGGTATCTAAGTCTATGCCACAGACTTTAAATATGCATATTTGTGTGACTTGTGGTATCCGTTCTGGAGTCTAAAAAAGTGGATTGAAACTGTCTTTTTTTCTTTATCTACAGCATAATGAATTCCCTTGTAATTGTTCTTTTCTTATCTGGCATGGTGGCTATGATCATACTGAGGACTCTTCATAAAGATATTGCAAGATACAACCAGATTGACTCTTCTGTGAGTAAGAATTATGGTTTTTAGATGAGGTCTTGTGCTAGGGATAGTACAATCTACTAACTGCGGTTCTGAACATAGTTTAGGGGGGAAGTGCAATATAAGCAGTATATTATGTGTAATAAGCAGGGATCCTGGTTTTCTTGGATTTAAAGAGTCCCCCATTTTGGGACTAAAAAAAGTAACCCCTATTTTTTTTTCTGATTAAAATGAAACTATATAGTGTTGTTTCATTTTATTCATGGAAAAATGTGGATTTGGGGTTACTTTTTTTTTAAATCTGAAAATTGGTTTTGTTTTTGTTTATTTCTTTTTAAATCAGAGAAAACCAGGATCCCTGGTAATAAGTGGCTTCTTGAGCAGGCAGATCTATGTTGGTAACATCTTATTAAGACCAGCATTAATTGGCCTTAATGAGCGCTGTTCATCTATAATGCAGTTAAATGTAAAAGTAGTAAGTCTTTGAGGAATATGGAAGACCTCCTTTAGATGCTGGTGCAACTACGTGGAAACAGTCTGGGAAATGATGCTTTTTGGAGTCAGAGGCTCAGGAGAGAGAATTCTAAATCAATTTATGATTGAGTAGAATGCAGATTGTTTTCTTGTAAGAGCCTCTTGAAAGTTCATTTGGATGGGTTTTTGGGGCATGTATGTCCAAGAATAAAAACTTTGTAAATTCAGGTTATAGGATTTCTGTAGAGTCTCTGTATACAAAATTGGGTTCCAGTAAGCCCCAGCCCCTCTCCTAAAACCTCCATTCCAGCTGCTTAAACTCCTGTAGGCTCTTGTTCTGCTTCTGAATAACTAGAATGCACCAAAGAGCCATGGAGTAAAAAAGGTCTCTTGAATAATGAATAGAAACAGGTGATTTGTGCTCTCTGGAAGATGTGGTAGAGGGTCATATGTGCTTCACCTTTGTAATAAAGTAGCTCATTGGAGTACTTTTTCAATAGACTCCTGCTGTGTTTAGTTATTTTATGCTTAGGTAGGTGAATGTTTGAGCACAGGAATTGTTGGAAAAACTGCATCAGTGATGGATTTTGGAGGCTGCCTTTTTAGTTCCGCACGCTGACCAAAGCTTGTTGCCATATCACTGTTAACCTGTTGCTGATCTTCCATTTCATTCCTAAAAAATGCAGCTCCTGGTAGTAACTGCCTAGATCCAACATGTGCCCATTACTGAAAGGGAAACTTACCTAGAATCAGTACAGATAGTTTCTCCAGACCAAAATGAAATGAGACAACACTGTAGAAGTTCATGTTGCCACTGCCATTTATCAGTTTTGGTTGAATAATGTAAATCAGATGCAATATTTTTTTCCCTCCAAAATGACTCATGATTAACAAATGCAACACAATGAATGCAGGAGCCACAGTTCTGTTCTGTGTATATACTTCTTTTCTGATGGATGGTGTCTTTCGTCAGCATAAATCCAGACAGAGTAATTTTGAAAAATAGAAATATTCCACATCCTCTGCCTGATCACTTCTGTAAAATTTTCTTCTATCTCTTAGTAACATTTTTTTTTTCAGTATCTTACTACTATGTCAGTTTGTCAAGCTGGCTGTTCTTTTACCTTGATGAAGAGTGAGACTTGTGAAAAGTAGATTAGTTTTACTGGGTCAGGTAGGAGAAAATTTACTTACAAAAAGCTCCTAATTATATTACTGCTTTGTAAGACTTTGAGATGTGTTGTGACTTATTGAGCGAATTACAAGTAATAGTTCAGGGGAGGGGCTCGATCGAAGGAAGAGAGATATTGAAGCTAATGTCTCATTTATTTCTTAAATTAGTGTTCCCACTTCTTCAAGGCAGGTAAAAACATAAAATGCTGAGTGTGTATGTGTAATAACATGTGTATGGAGCATTTCAATTGGGTTCCAACATGTTGCTAACCAAGTATGCAAAAAAACTGAGGTTTTAATTTTGAGGTTTTAAAAATACAGCTAGGGTTATATTAGTCTTAGAGTTCAAACCTTCTAGAATTCATACTGTTGAACTTTCCTCCCCAACCATAAGATTCAGGGGTGTGGGTGGAGGGAAGGCACTGTGAGAGTCTTGTAATCATGGTTGCAGGAGCTTTAAGAAAATGGCATTAGATATTCTGAAACTTGTGATTTAAAATTTGGGAGGTAGCCACATGGAGTCATGTGTAATGCAAGTGCAGGCTTCCAGTGTTTTATATAGTTAACATCATCTCTCTATTCCTATATAATTGTACCAAAACATGCTTTTCTTCTGGGGCATATGGCAATACTGTACCAAAAATGATGCTTTTGCCCATATGTAGCATTTGTGCATACATGTAGTTCTGTGTAAACATGTGGGACTTTTACTTACACACACACACACACACACACACACACACACACACACACACGTATGTCTTGAAGAAGCTTTTGTGTCTTGCTATGGATAATTTAAAAAAGAAAAGTCTGAATATGTATGTAATCGCAACGCCAAATTACGTTCTTTAATTCATCTGGCCTTCAATGAGCAGTGTTGCACTCAAGGCACAAGGTAAAATAAAGCATAAACAACACTCTCACATAAGCATTATTTCTACAATACACTTTAGAGTACTCGTACTCTATTTTTGTTAGGTAAAAATTTGCAAGCACCCTATAAGTCAGAGTACTGTCTTTCACATGGATAGCTAACTAGGAAGCTACAGGTGGTCTGTGTATCAGTATCAGTATCTGACACTACCAGTGGCAAGCACTATGAAGATTCCTAAACGTAAATGATATTTTAATTCTTACAGTTAAACTACAGGCAACTCATCTGTGATTTGGAAATAATCAAAAAAACTTGCTAAAAGTCTGTCCTGTAAGTGGAGGTGGTGTTTTCGTTCATAGAAGACAAAACAAAAACTCAGGCTGTCCAACCTGATCTCATAGCTTACTTTTTTCCCCTTCTGCTAAAGAAGCAAATAGACTTCTAGAGGAGAATTTATCGTGCTTTTGAGTTGTGGGGAATTCTAAGTCTAGAACCATGGTGTCTTTTTTTTTTTTTTCTTTCTTTCTTCATTTTAATCCTTGCTGTAAAACTGCTTTCTCTACATCTTAATACCAGAGATCTTTTTCCTAGCACATCTCAACCTCCTGATTTAACTTGTTATCAGTCATGGCTGTACATAGTAACCAATGCTTCCAAAGGTGCCTGTTCCTGGCTAAGGTGCTGTATAATTACCCAGTTCTACCTGCCTGCCTTCTCACCCTTATTTCTCCCTACCCTCCTTGCCCCCAAATATCCTTGGGTATCTAATTTTGGTATTAAACGCTCCAGTGAAATATCTGCTTCTGGGCTGGATGATCCATGGGAAAATATCAGTTCTTGACTGTATGGAGTTTAAGTATATTTGCATTCATTAAGAATTGGCTGCTGCTTCATGCCTCCTGATTAATGTTTCTTAAAACTCTGAAACCAAGTAAGTCCTCAGTTTTTGGCCAGCATGTAGACTGGGCAGAGAAGAAGATATCCAGAGTATAAGGAGCAGAGATCTGTACTTGCAAAGTAAAGCAAAAAGCTTGCACTTGTTCCTTTAGGATTACTGTTGAGATGCTTTCTCATATAAGCAAAAGACATAAATATTTCAAATGCTTTAAACCAAAGTGAAGTGCAGTGATCTAAGTTAAACTAAATGAATGTTTACGTTAGCATTATGAGGCTTGTAGTTAATCACATTGCTTCTCTCCCCCTAAAAATAAGGATTTCATTGTAAATCGTTCGTTCTTTTTTCTTTCTGTGAGCCATTAGGAGCTTGTAAAATCAGTGAGTGAATTGGATACCATGAGTCTGTTTTTGGAATCAAACAAAAAGTTAATCAAACTTTAAAAATGTGTTTCATGTCTTGTATGAATTCACTGATTAATTCTTTATAATTGAAGAGTCTGTTCTTATTTTATGCAGGAAGATGCCCAAGAGGAATTTGGTTGGAAGTTGGTTCATGGAGATGTATTTAGACCTCCAAGGAAGGGAATGCTGTTATCTGTCTTCCTGGGTCAAGGAACACAAATTTTCATTATGACCTTTATTACTCTATGTAAGTAGCAACAAGTTATTAAAACTGCACCATTACAATTTACTGATGTAATACCATAAGAAACAAGAAATGATTTCTGGTATAGCTGTTTGTCCTTATACTGATGGCAAAACTTTTTTTTTTTTAATTAAAAATTAAATTAAAAATACAACACTTTTGAAACAGTAAGGCAGATCACTGCACTAACGCTATTGTAAGCCTTATAATTTTGAACATAATTGTAGTATTTGCAAGAGCAAATTCAGATACTAAGTTGGTAGAAATAAAGTTACTGAATGTACAAATCCCTTGCATAAAAATAATACTCAGTTCACATTTATCCTTTAGGGTTTGAATGATAGCAGGAAATGTGAGCTTGAAGGCATTTAATTAAAACTGTTTTCAGACCACTCTTCTTCTAGCATATTTGTTTCCACAGCCAGCCGTCATCTTGAAATAAGAGCTCTAATGCATGTGCCAGTAAAATGACAGACAGTACTTGGATTACTTGATGATCCTGGCATAAATACCTAGATCCATGCATAACATTTTAATCTGTACCAGATTAGTATGTCTCATTACATGTGCCCTGCCAAAAGCTCTTATACTTCCTTTTCTCACTTGCACATTAGATTATAGAAACGCTATGGCTTATGTATGAAGGTAAACTCTTAGAAAAATGAGAAGAGTATGAACGCTCTTTTTCTTATTAAGTTGTTTGTTCGAAGTTTATATACTAGCAGAGTGTTTCCATTTGAATATCTTGATGCCAGGTGACAGTACATCTAGGTAAAAACAGTTGCTATAATTTCTTTTTCTTTCTTGTTTTTTGTTTGTTTGTTTTGGGTTTGTTTTTTGGTTTTTTGGTGGTTTTTTTTGCCAGATAACTTTTCCTACTAATAACATAGTAAAGAATGAAACTGGCCTTCCACAGTATTTTTTTCACTTGCAAAAGAGGTTTAGACACAAGAGAACCTATGTTTTCTGCTTATGTTTTTCAAATATATCTGTCATGTCTAGCAGTGCACTGTAGGTCTTTGGCCTTTTGATTCTGGTTTGATTCAAGCTTTAAACGTTACTGAAAAAGGATTGGGCAGTGTTGTGGCCTTTGACTCCCATTGGAGAACAGTGTAATCAGCCCATCGGTATAGAAACTCATTTGGACTTGCTCAGACTAGCTGGATATAAACAAAGTAAATTTTATGGGCAAGCTAGACCTTTTGTATTCAACATTTCAAAACTCTAGCATTTTGTTACTGTGATCTGTTTGTGGTACGATGGTCTTTGAATAGCCTGTGTAGGGCATTTGAGCATATAATGGAAAACAAATCAGTAGGGTGTGGGTATGGTGACAAGGCCTAATCCAGGCACTTTAAGATAGCTTCAGGTTTTTTCCCCATCTGCTTTTTAAAGCTCAGTTGTTTTATTAGTGAGAAATGGTAATTTTCCTTACCATTCCATTATGCTTATTTTACCCAGAGTGAAAAAATTATTGCTTTTATGGTGTTAGCAGATCAGAATGTGAAATGTCTAACCCAACTTGATATATTCCTGGCTGGCTTGCGTCTCGGAGAAAATTACTCTTCAGTGTTCTGGTTTAGCTTATCCTTTGCTCTATTTCTAATGTGATGCCATGTAATTAATATAAAAAGATGCTTTTTGTGTCTTGGTAAATCAGTTCATCCATATGATGGCTCTGGGAATCTGTTTCCAATTACAACAATTTCACAAACCACTAGTATGGTTTAGCATAAGAAATCTGTATCATAGATGTTTTTCTTTATGTCAGCTTCCAGCTGGAGATCAGGGTAAGGAATTGATGAACTCCCTTTCAGAGAATCTGTTTGGGCCTACTTTTACAGTTGAACAAACTTTGACAGGAATTTATTTTCAAGATGGTCCTCCTTGTTCATAGACGCTTCCTTTAGAGCTAGGCACAGTAGGGTGCATGTTTTAGTGATCAGTCCATTTTTACACGTATGCCAAGGTTGTTATTTAAATGTTTGCCAATGAAATTGATAAATGTGGGCATTGTGATATAGGTTAGCAAACAGGGCACAAATGACCTAGTGTTTCTTTTCCCACCTTTTTAGTTCTAGCTTGTCTTGGTTTTCTTTCTCCTGCCAACCGGGGAGCTTTGATGACTTGTGCGGTTGTCCTGTGGGTCTTACTTGGAACTCCAGCTGGTTATGTGTCTGCTCGAATGTACAAGAGTAAGTACGAACATTTGTTTGCTTTGACACCAGTGCAGCTTGCACTGGAGATGGCAAACCTGTTACCTGCTGCACAGTATTTAAGAAGTACTAAGTTTGAAATTCTAGTAATTGTTTTTAATTATTTTCAGCATTTAGAGGTGAAAAGTGGAAGACGAACGTTTTGCTGACAGCTCTGCTGTGCCCTGGGTTAGTACTTTATTTATTCTTATGAGACTTCCCCCCGTATGCCCTCATATAGCTGTATGGCTCCACTGGCAATGTCTGTTTCTAGCCTTAGAGCCTCCATTTTCCAGTGGGCTGCCTCAAGTCCTAGCGAGGGGCTCCCTTGAGTCTAAAAAGGTTGAGAACCACTAGTCTAGATGCTCATGTTTTATAGGATGTTCATCTTGAATGTTTGTGGGTACTTACTAGAAAAGCAATCCTGTCAGCACCCATGAGTAGGAGCTCCTGCTGTCATTGGAGCTGGTCACAAATTTTCCACTAAGTTTAGGGGATTGGGTTTGAGCCTTTAACTCTAGGTACATACACCTTGCAGCACCTGGTTCTTGGCTGGGCAAATTGGCATCTGCTGAGCTCCACACTACCACAGCTGTATTGTTATTGGTACTAAAGCGAGCTAGTTTTAAGTCACTTGGGTATCCCTGCATTTCAGTTGGTGACTGCTCTGTACCCACAGCCTGTTTTCATGCAAATACTTTATCTTCTCTTTGTCGTCCCCTGAGTGTATTGAAATGTTCTCCTGAAAGACCATGTAAAAGGG